ATCTGGAAACACTTGAGCTCTTTTTATACTCCTGACATTAAAACAAGTGTGGCTTAAGGCCAAACACACCCTGAGACGTTTTTTCTCGACTGTTTCCTTCAGTCTCAAACACTCCCCCTCCAATCTCTCCAAAACTCCCTTCCTCTCCCCTCCTCACAGTGCCGCCCCTCTTCTCCCCCTCTCTGCAGCTGCTAATAGGTTTAAATAAAACCTGCAATTGGTTCAGTAAACCCCTCATTACGGTGTTTTAATAGAATGAATATAGGATGGTGCAGGGTCAGGGGTCAGTGGGAGGTACTAACACACAGCAGCTGCCAGGCTGGAGTGTGATTAGAAGCAGTGAAGTCAAACATCCCAAGGTCCCCAACATCGCTTAGTAGAAAACCTGGAAAATACGTTTGGCCACAGTCCAATTGGTAAAACATTTCCAACCACTTGCTGCGATGCAGATAAGGGATGATTACAGATGAATCCCTATTTACAAATTCTGTATAGAAATACCAAATCTGGAAACATGTGACAAGATGTGTGTGTCGGAGGTGTTCTGGTTTCTGTGTGAAGTCCAGGTATTTTTGTCTGCTAGAGTTTCTGCTGCCATTCGATCTGTGCAAAAATACAGTTTGTGACTAGAGAGCAAAAAAAGGTACCGCAACCAACTGTAAAGTTATCCCCACTTCCATCGGCTGTCGTCTGACAACTATTAATTGACCTTAATTAACATCTCTAAACTGATAGCTGCATTTAGATGAAGCAAACAATCAGGACAAGAGACATCATCTCTCAACTCCAACTCCATTCTTGCTTCTCAAGTTGCTCGTCTGACTGCTACAATAGCAGGACAGAAAGTCACGGCCAGATGTCCTTTTTTGCTAAATGCTGGAAAAACCCCATGGCCAGGGCCGTCACAACCAGAAGCTCCTAACGGTTGGCTGCTGCTCAAAGAGGGTAACTCATCATCAGATAATAGTCCATGGGTTTGGAGATTGAGCAGGGATAGGCCCAATCTCAAAACTCCAAATTCAGATCTAGAGGCGCGTTCCCGGTGAATGTGTAGGTACTTAGTGCTGTCCCACAATCAAACCATCAAGTGCATGAGGGCTCTGATGCCAACTTTACAATGCCTATTAAAGAACCTTCTGTGAGTTTGAGTTTATGCAGACTTTTCCATGAGACCTGACCCAGAGTACGTTGCATACATTGCAAAATTCACAAACACACAACAGTAAAATTAATTGATAAATATTTATAAAGAAAAAAATGACTTTTTAGGATAAAGGCAAATTATCCATTTGACAAAAAGGCAAATCAGGATAAATCACAAATGATGTTATGTCTGAAGCATATCACTGATAAATTGGTGAAACGGTGTAGAGACTGTTGGCTGATTTCACCACCACAACATCCCTGCGTGGGGCTTCCAGGGCAACTTCAGGCTGTGCCCAAGACAGACAGAGCAAACTGTGGGCCTAAATTAATTTGTTATACAGAATCCAATTTGATTAGGCAAGACCAGCAGAGGGATCTGTGTCTGTAGAAAGGGGTTTCAGTGTTTCACTGTTAGGTGCAAATTGCAGATACACAATTTGAGGAGATTTGAATATATTTTATATTTGAAGGTCTGACTGTTGCTTAATGTAATTTTCTTGATTTATTTTATATCCAACATTTTGAAGTATTTGTATATTGTATTGTCTTTTTTTGGTCAATGTGATGCTTTTTAATTTAGGTCTGTCAGGGTTCAGTGTTCACTGGGATTTGGTCGTGAACCAGTAAGGAGGAAAAGATGCACTCATCTCTGAGAGATTGCTTTGATCGGGTTAACCTGACTGGAAAATCCTGTGAGTTTTTTTTTTTTTTTACCAAAAAGTTGCAACAATGCAAGACGCCGTAACTTCACCACGGCTGTAAAATATAGTTTCCAGATATTGTATCCTTGCCTTCCAGTTGCATTTTCTGGGACTGTAAATTATGTGCTAATTACTCCTTTCTTAAGTGTGTGAAACCAAAGATAGAAGTGGTCTGGTTGATGTGGTTCCAAAGTGAATTACGGCTTGTTAGCAGCCCAGGAGCTGGTTCCACATGTGGTTAGGTTGGTGGTTGGGATCGTCTGGGTGACAGGGAGGGCATGCCAGTCTCTACGGTTCAGAGAGATTACACTGACTCAGTGTGCAATCACAGAGATTATTTAACAGAGTGAAGACCTGCTTTTAGGGTTTGGGTGCTGTGATGGCTGCAGAGACAGGTTTTCACAGTTGTTGCTTATATGAAACATTTTGTAAAAAATCGTAAAAGAATTCAGGCTTCTTGTGGTGCAGAAATGAGACATATTGCACAAGAACAAAACACTTTGTTGGAGACATAGCATCACGTATCAAACTCAGGGTTTGACCTTTATGAACCTCTCATCATGTTTAAGTACTCCCAACACATCTAAAACTATTTTCTAAGCCTTGAAATGCTGTTACAATTTATGCCAATTTATCTTCTCAACACACTCTGTACAATAACTTGGGCAGAGTGAAGAAATGTGCCGAAGTGTATTAAAACACAGAAGCAGAGACCAAAGGGGGCAAGATTCCTGTGGGTGACTGTGTAATGTAATTTTGTATGCACATTAGAAGCCAGAGAGTATAATTTACATGTAGGGTAGATGTGACTAGGGCCCAGGAGGATGGACTTACATGCTCTGCAAAAGCTTTGGAAAAAATGAAAATCTGAAAATCTTTACTCTGGTCTTTCCTTTGAGATGCATCTTTGTGAATATAGGAAAATTGAAACCTTCCATCATTGCTCGGGACACTCAGGGTTCATACGCGGTTACCTCTCCTCTGTTGCTCCTTCCTTTTCTAATCAAGAGCCCAGAGAACCACAAACTGTGGCCAGAGTTTCTCCCCACAATACAGGGAGGCATGAAGGGGGGACGGCTGGAGTCTGTTTAAGTCTGTCTCCTTTTCTCTACCCAGAAACCAAGACTGTCTCACAGCTTAGAAAAAGGCTTGACGGCAGCTGTCATTCATGTCTGGCTCATCCTGAGTCTGAGGTGATTTGGGGAGGAAGGAACCGAATCAGCAGCCGAGATTAAGTCTGTTTCTTGATATTGCTTTAAAAATGGGCTGAATTTGCACTTTTGAACTATGACAGAGTGGTTCAAATGATGTTGATTTGTTTGTCTGTCTGTCGGCAGGATAACTCAAAGCCCTGACATAAAAGATTTCCGGGAAATTTTGTGGAGAGGCAGGATTTGAGCCAAGAACAGTTGATTCTGTTTCAATTGTGATTGGGAACAGGGATTTCCAGCAGTACATGCGACACACACAGAAGAAGAAAAACATTTGACTAAATGTATGCTGAAGTGACAGAAATTATGTCCCCTATGTTTGGGATACTTGATCAATTCATGGACGTTTGCACTCACTGTGTGACTTCTAAGGCCCCACAATTAACATAGCATAAAATCAACTCAGTAATTATTGACTGAGAACTTGAGAAATGAGAAAAATGAATATCAAATATCTGGTGCTTCAGTTTAAATATGTGCCTGTGGCTTGCTTAAAGCTCTACACATTGACATAACGTGCATGTGTACACACCGTGTCTAAGTGTTAGCCTGTATGGGTTAAAACTCTTGCCTGCACAGAGGAACACTTTCCATGTGTGGAGCGCGACGAGAACATAGCCAGAGTCATTCATGTTTGACAACTAGCCGTTTCCCTGTCTGTATCTCCATACACACACTCTGACACACACACTGACACACACACTGACACACACTCCCACATGCACTGAACTTGACCCAAAGCACGAGCATTGACAGCAGCTGTTAGAAAGACAAGCAGCTCAGGACACACTTTCATTTTACTCAACTTACACCTAACCAAAAGAAGCTTATTTTACATCAAATGTTTCCCAAAAGGCAGACACGTAATCCTTCTTTACACAAACAATTCAAACGTCTTACCTTAATATGCAAGCCTATCCTTTTCTTGCTGTCAACGCAGAGAAAAAGCCACCATTTATATCAGAACCACGTAACAATCAGCCTTCTTCCTTTGGCCACCTGCAGTGTGCATCAAGCAGAGCAAACTGCCGTCCAGCAAAAACACACCACATCTTTTCACAGGGAGCCTCAGTGATAAAAATCACCCCACAATACGAGAATACAAAGACACCTTTAACAAAAGGCCTGATTCATCTACACTCTTATCTCTCCTGCTCTCTATATCTTTAGTGTCGTAAAAAAGCACACTGGTGGTTAGAGGGAACACTGACAGACCGCTGGGACAAATTCACCTCATGTTCTCAATATGGAGCAAATACCAAAGCTGTAAATAGGGCCCAACAGGCCTGTATGCTTGTATTGATGAAAGACAGATACAAGGTGCTTTATATCAGTTTTAGTTATGACAGTTATCAAATATGCGTCTATACCTTTACCACATAAAGATAAATATTCACCCACTCTTATGTATTTTTTCAACTCTTTTAAAATCCTAAATATGAAATATTAAACTTTCTATATGATGTTACTTTTTCAGATGGATTTTTTTTAAGAAGCAGCAGTAAGATTTTTCTAGCAGCAGTAAGATGTTTAACCTAGTACTTCTCTCATTAAGTAAGTATGACTTTAAAAAGGAAAAAAAATATTATTTTCTGCATTTGCACATTTATTATGTTCAGACCACTTCATGTCTGGCAGTCACTTAATGTGTTCATAAGACAACAAACTATTTTAAGAGATGAACTCCTGTGTAGACAGAAAATAAACTATATATATGAAAAAAAAAGTGAAATCATAAGCCCATTTGCACAAATCATTATTTAATTTACTATTAAGAATTATTCCATTACTTTTTCTTTTTACATAGAATTGTATTTTATTTTTGATATACTCGAGTAATCATTCTTATTGGTATCAGCCCTGGTTAAAATAATCACTATGGTTATTTTTCTAACAGCATGATAAAATTGCACAACGTGTGCAATAAAAAACTGAACTGTGTCAATAATGACAAATAGAAAATCATTATAATCATGAAGCATACATAACAGCCTGAACCAATCGGGGGGAAGTGGTGATTTGTTCCAGCCAATCGCGGGCGGAGGGTGGAGGGATGATTTTAAAACTCCAACTCAAGTTGCTGTAACGTGCAGCTCCTCAGCTCACATTGTGGACCACAACTTTCACGACTGCACCTCCCATGACAGCCTAGGAAAACAACCCTGACGAAGACAAACAAACAGGGAGGCAGAAGGAAAACAACGGACTCGTACTGAGCGAAAGTGTTGGAGGAATTTATTGTGGCGCACCGTGCGTAAAAGGCGCACTGGCCACTTGGTTGCGCGCTTGATTTCAGTGGCAAAATTTGAATTCTGTTTTAGAATTAATTATTCGGATTTTTTAAATCAAAAAAGGGCTGAATAAATAATGTTGAAAATGACAGAAGAGCATGAAAAGTGCGTCAGCGACCAGCCGTGCAGTCCATCGGGCTCAAACAGCTCAATGTCCCAGGACGAGTCCGACTCCGATGCTCCGTCCTCACCGACGGGCTCAGACGGGCAAGGATCTCTGCTCACTGGATTGGGCAAGAAGCTGGACTCCGAGGACGATGATCGGTTCCCGGCTTGCATACGGGACGCCGTCTCTCAGGTCCTCAAAGGATATGACTGGTCCTTGGTGCCGATGCCCGTGAGAGGGAACGGATCTCTGAAGAATAAACCGCACGTCAAAAGACCCATGAACGCGTTTATGGTTTGGGCGCAAGCGGCCCGCAGAAAGCTGGCGGATCAGTACCCACACCTGCACAACGCCGAACTGAGCAAGACTCTGGGGAAACTGTGGCGGTAAGCAGACATATTATACTATTCTAAGTTAAAAAAAAGTAGATATAAATTGATATGATTAAAAGAAAGTAACAATAAGGAGATCAAGTGACCATGGCTAAATATTTGGAAATAGCTAAGTTATTAAAGTAAAATATATTTAGCATTACATTGTTAATGTTTTTTATTTTGAATGTAGGTAAAGGTTCTAGAGAAAATTAAGTGTTAAAAAAAGCAGTTATTTCCTGACACCTCTTATTTAACTTATCAACAAAGTTTCACTTTTTATTTCTCTTTAGTTTGACTGCACACATTTTAATGTTTCTTTCTTTCTTTGGGCATCCACCACAGTTTGCTCTCAGAAAGTGAGAAGAGGCCGTTTGTGGAAGAAGCAGAGAGGCTTCGGGTTCAGCACAAAAAAGACCATCCAGACTACAAGTACCAGCCCCGGCGACGGAAGAATGTGAAACCAGGCCAGAGCGACTCGGACTCAGGGGCAGAACTGGCACATCACATGTACAAAGCTGAACCCGGGATGGGAGGACTGGCAGGGATGACTGACGGACACCACCACCCTGAACATGCAGGTATGTTATTCAGAAACAACACATCAACCTGCTTTATTTAAGATTCTAAATGTTTCAGGCTGCTGTGAATTGTTTGGATCATTTTGTATTTAGAGTGTTTAACTCTTGTCCTCTATTTTTGGCTTTTTCCTCTCAGGGCAGCCTCATGGTCCCCCTACACCACCCACTACTCCCAAAACAGACCTGCACCACGGGGTGAAGCAGGATCTGAAACATGAAGGCCGCCGTCTGGTTGACAGCAGCAGGCAAAACATCGACTTCAGCAATGTCGACATCTCTGAGCTTAGCACTGATGTCATCAGCAACATGGAGACCTTTGACGTGCACGAGTTCGACCAGTACCTCCCACTTAACGGCCACGCCTCAAGCTCCTCCGCCCTGCCTTCAGACCACAGCCATGGGGGTCCGGCGCCTGGTGGCTCTTACGCTTCCTCATACAGCCATGCAGGCGCCAACGGGTCAGTGTGGAGCCGCAAGAGCGCCATCTCCTCTTCTCCAGCCGCTGGAGATGTTGGCCAGCACCGACTCCACATCAAAACGGAGCAACTGAGCCCGAGTCACTACAGCGAGCACTCCCACAGGTCCCCTCCACACTCCGATTATGGCTCCTACGGCAGTCAGGCCTGTGTTACCTCGGCCACGTCAGCTTCCTCCTCTTTCTCCAGCTCACAGTGTGACTATACTGATATCCAGAGCTCCAACTACTACAACCCGTACTCAGGCTACCCTTCTACCCTCTACCAGTACCCCTACTTCCACTCATCCAGGCGGCCCTACGGCAGCCCCATCCTCAACAGTCTGTCCATGGCTCCTGCCCACAGCCCCACCACCTCCAGCTGGGACCAGCCCGTCTACACCACTCTGTCTCGACCATGAGAGAACAAAAAAAAAGAAATTGTCAACTCGCACCAGAGACTCATTCAGATTGATGCACTACTAATGAAGGAAGTAAGGAGCAGGTGGAGAAGAGTGTGTGAGACCATTTGAACGTGAAAAAAAAAGAAAAAGTGCCTGCTGATTTTATACAAAGTTATATCTTTGCGATATAAAACACACACTTGTCAGACATTATACACAAAGACAAATTGTGTTGTTGTTGGTGAGCCAAACTCCTCCATGAGGAAATGTCACCTACGCCTACATCCTGTACATCCCCCGTTTTTTCCCGTTAAAGCGTGCGCGTGTGTGCGCACACTTGAGGTAAAAGCAAATGGCCTGCCACTGCGTCATTGTGTAGGAGAGAAACACTTTGGCTCAATTCTGTCGCCAAGCAGATGGAGAAGCAGATACATCAGAGAATGTACACGGGACCAATTGTGTGAATTTGCAGTAAAATTTACATTAATGGCCGGAGCTGTATCACAGCACATTTGGACATTTGCATCAGTGGATCAGTCTTAACTAAATGGCTCATATGAATCTTAGTGACATTTTGGCATAAAAGTCTTATATATATTTATGTTCTTGCATTATTGGTTCCTTTTATTTGTTCTTGAGTAGATAAACACATGTAATGTGGGTTTGCTTATTTACAGTACTGTTTGGCTTTTAATGAATAGCAGGTTATTGAAGTGAAGGACAGTACGAGTTCAACGATTCTGATATCATTCCGTCTAAGACAAACTTCCAGAAACATCTCCATTCCAAGCAAACTGAGCCGGACCAACAGACTCGCACAGGACAGAACAGGTGTCGGGAGGCTACGCTTGGCTAATTGCGATTAGTCATGATCTGGGGTTAAAGGAAATGGGGTAAAATAACACCACACACTCTGAGTGACATGTCAGCTGGACCTCCTGTATACGTGGATGGACGACACATGGATATGTGTGTACATGCACACATGAGTTTGTGTGGGAGACAAAGTGCTTCTGTATGTGTGAGCCATTTCCTTTAAAAGAGATAATAATCCAGAGATAATGAAAATACACACCATATGGTACTTAAAACCACGTTTTCTGATCTTCATCCATTACATAAAGAGGAGTGTGTGCGTTTTAATGAGGAGATGTAGTGTGTGTGTGAACATTCGCCCATTTTTTATCACATCGACCATCAAGTGCCAACTCACTGCCGCAGTCTCGCGCAAAAAAACGGCTTTGTGCCTTCTAATGCTTTCAGTCAGTATTTCAAATGTGAAATTGAACTATTAACAAACTCCAGGCAGCACACAATCCACACCAGAAACTACACTTAACCCGATTCTTTATCCTTAATTTGATATCATTCCTGACAGCTTTGGTTTGTAAATGTTCTGTAAGACGCTGTGTGAGAATCGTGTGGAGCACCACACGCCAAGTCTTTTGTCCACAGAACTGTGTTTTGTATATTATTTTGGTGTATCATTTTGAGGAAGGCTGTGAAAATTATTGTTGTTCTCTTAACTAGAGTTTCATTCACACATGCACAGCTAACCCATTTGCTGGCCTTTTTTTTTTTTTAAATAAATAAATGAAATACTTTTTCTTGATATTTGTCTTTGTCATTCTTATTTACGGTCTAATTTAGATAAGACTTGTTCATAATTCTACTTGAATATTTGGAATATAAATAATTCAGTTTCTCTTTGTAGCTTCTGACATCTGTAAAGTCAGCATTAGGAACAGGATATTATTCTCAGCTATTGTAGCACTGAACAGTTTCTTAAAGAGAGGGGGGGTAATGCACTTTTTTTTTTTCTTACAGCTGGTCTTTATCTCATCTCTAGTGGACTCCGTTCAGAAGTTAGCTTTGTCTCTAGAGCTGCAAAAATTTACGAGATATTCTAACTCAATGACAATTGAGTGAATGACATCTATGTGATAATAGATGAATCATTTTACAAATTTTTCAACAAAAATGTCAAACATCTGCTCGTTCCAGGAGCCTCAAATTAAGGTTTTTTATTAGTCATCTGGTTTTGAACCGTTGGTGTGACAAAAGAAGCATTTTGAAGATGTCACGGGACATTGTGCTTAACATTTATCTCAACCATGTGGCATTATAAAGACTCAACCATTGCTGGATTAAAAGACAAAAAAATATCGGGAAAGTGTCAGGATAATTGAAGTTGAGGACCTTCATTGAGCTACATCTCCTCCATTAAAAATAACTGTAAAAGAAATGTAACAAGAAACTTTGAAAAGCAGATCAATTTGTACATTTAATATAAGTAAAAAAAAATAGCTTATAGATTCAACAAGTGTGATTCTGTCAGAAAAACAGACAGGATGGAAAAGATAATTGACACATGTTGCAATAAGCAGCTTTCTTGCACTTCTGGTGCCACTCTCTGGCCCTTCTGACCTTTCAGGCCCTTGGGGGTCAACGCTTATTTGTGACAACGTCTTCCATAGTAGAAAAGTAGAGATTTCTGCGTTAAACGGCAGACTACAGAGGAATGAGGAGAGATCCCATCTCCTCTGGTCCAGTGGGTAGAATGCTCGAGTTGGCCCTGGCATGCATGCCAAGCAGCCGTCCCTAACCAGCCACGGGAGAAGCCAAGTGCCAGGGCCGCGCTGCTGAATTTTAATGATTCATTATGCTGTGGAGGGGCCCCATTGTGTCCCTTTATCCGGAGAGCTAGAAAGGAATTAATTGGACAGAAAATGGAAGGGCAAGGGGAACTGACAAGCCATTAAGAGGGTCCTGAATGGACGATTAGATGCACATGGGGGAGGACCCCGCCACCCCCACCTTGCTGTCTCATATCACAGTGCCCCACAAACAAAAAGAAAACACAACAAGAACAACCAGAATGACCAGCAGACCAAACTGTAGAAATCATATCAGCGCACATAATCTGTAGATAATAAAAGAAGATAATACCACAGCAGATGGGGTGTGGGTGGCTCAAGAACGACTTGTTGTTTTTCTTCCCTCAAAGTCTTTTTTTTTTTCACCAGTGTTTGCCAAATACTTTCAGGAGGAACTCTTGAGAAAGAACAGGAGTGAATAAAAGTGAGGCAAAAAGGCTCTTCAGGGTGCTTGGGTCCTGTTTCCCTGGAACTTGTCCACAGTTTCCGATTGGGCCTCTTGAAAGCTCTACTGTAAATAGCTAAAAAAAAAAAGAAAAAAAGAAAGAACTGGACTTAGATCAGAATGCTATACTGAATGAATTAATGTATGAATGAATGAACGTTTCTACACTGCTGCTCCAGTTTAATCTCATAAGAATAGTACATTTACAGACATATTCTAAACACAGTGCACCACAACACTGTACATACAATATTTTCAGAGTCACCCCCTCCATACTCAAATATACGCAGAAAATTGGAAATGAAATATAATTTAACGTAATTTTATCACCACCGCACGGAAACTGTTCTACATTCCAGCTGTCACAGTCATTGCCGATGGAGGAAAGGGCGTTTTTTTGGGTCCTATGGTGGAAGTCGCGGTCTTGCACCCAGAGGACGAGAGGGGGGGAAGAAAAATGAACCCAGTGAAACTAGTGATTCCACCACCTGACCACATCCCATTGTTAGCGGGAGGATAACTCGCCTGGTAATAGTCTCATCCTGTTTAATGAGCCCGGCTGACTCAGGGCATGATTCGAGAGGGGGGGGAAGAGGGAGCTGGGAACTGTGAAAACTCAGGAGAATGTGATGCTGATTTGCAAGGGAAATGAAGTGGACATAAAGCGTGCTTATTGCCCGTCGCTGAATCTGCCTGGCCTGATTCCACTTGAGTCTCTTTTAAGTTATCTGAATTCTTACTTTGCAAACACAGCTGATGTGTAATTTATCACCGGCCTTTAAAAGAAAAAAAATACAGTACGTTTCCTACTACAAATAATATCATTAATGGAGGTATGAAAACGATGCTCCAACATCAGCAGACTGTTTTCATTTAATTGGTTTGTTTCAGTTACAGATTTAGTATTTTTGGTAAATGTAAAACTGAGCTTTAAAACTAGTTTGTCTGATTTCTTAACAACCTACAGACCAAGGCAACATGGTATACAGTAGCTTCTTTTTAAAAGTTTTCCAGCTCACTCATTTCTTCAGGTTCTCAAGCTGCTTCCAAAGCAAACATGTCCGACTTTGCCTCCTCTGCCTGTTCTTCTCACTAAATAAAGAAGTCCATTTTAATATTGGTGACTACTGTGTTTGCAGCCGTGACTAGGCCAAGTAAAACAGGGTGGCAGACAGAACTAACATTGACTTCCACGATTCCTCACGGGCGGCCGGCACAGAAAAGAAGGGGAAAGGGAGAGTATGCCAACACCTCCGGCTCCTGAAATGCCACTAAATTGATGCTGGCTCCACTTAGGTCACCTACGATTGGTCGGCAATGTTGAGCTCATGCAAGGACCTGACGCTTACTTCAACAAGTTCAGCTTCTTGAACCGAACGTTAAATGTCAAAACCATAACAGTTTTGTTTCAAAATGAATAAAGTCGCAGTTCTTTTGTATCTTGAGGATTGAAATGTTTCTTGGTAAATCACAAAGCATCAATGAATAAAGCCTCTTAAACACTTTGTAATCATAAATTTAAAAAATCTGGAGCCTAATGAAAAATAATTTGAAGTAGATCTGTCCCAGTGGAGCGGCTGATTCTGGTTGTTTACTGAAAAGATAATCAGACCTGGGTTTAAAACTATTTGCACATAATTCTCAGTGTCTGTTTCAACCTGCTCAGAGTGCCAGATGGGGAGGGATTACTGCACCACAGAGAGTCACAGTGTCAGGAGACTTTTACGCTTTTTTTTCCTGAATAAAAAACTTTCTGGTGCTCATAAATTTCATATTCAGTTTGCACAATTTTCAAAGTTAGATCTCGTATTATTTTTGAAAAAATAAAATGAATGTGACAAAAAGTGGGGTTTATTCGCACTGTGAATCGTGATACTGATGGTGATGAAGACAAACAGTCACCAGGTGGACTGTTCCAATTCTTATTTTTTATAAAAGGGAGAAAAGAAATACAAAAAACAGAATAAAAAACAGCAACAATTTGACATCTGGTCATGTTCTGTTCTCTGAACA